GCCCTGCCCACGGCCCTCCATTCTGCCTGCACAGAGTCTTCACACAGGAAGGAAAAATATGCGTTTTCCTGTGTTTTGCATTCTGTCCGACTACTCCCCTCACCCTTTGCTTTTCTTAACTGCGCTTCTAATTTTGCAAAGAATCGGAGATTTTAAGCGGATTTCCCAGCAGAGCACCCACAGAGAGCACGGCCCTCCTGGGCCCATCCTTCCGTATTTGAAAGTGACACAAGCCCTTTTCCCGAGGGAGGGCCGGTGGCTGTGGGTGGCACCGGGACGCTGGGGCTTAATGAGCCTGGAGCGGCGCCCTGCCCCGAAGCTGGCCTTGTTGCTGCAGAGCTGCCGCTCCCGGCTGCTCGCCTCCCCCGGCTCTTTCCTTTTCTTTATGTGTTTGCTTACTTCTTGGTCTTTACAGAAACATTCCTGAGAATCTCCAAATGCAGCTGTGATCCCTTAAATATGTTTTTACGGAATGTAGAAGTAAATTAATGTTGTGGAAACTATAAAGAGGTCGACGTTTACTTAGAAGTTAGCGCCGCCAGGTTGGGGAATTGGAAACATAGTCTTGGGATAGGCTAACTATCAAACCAGCGAGTCATCCAGGTTTATCTAGAAGTAATGTGACGGCTTCCTTCCCGTTTTCATTCATGGAAAGAAGGCAGCGATTCGCCTGCCGTAGTAGCTGATCAGTCTTTGCCTACGAATTAGAAGAGGTAAGGCAGCCAGAGCGTGTAAAATTACCTCACAGTTAAGGGCTGTGCTTGAAAAACATTCCAAGCCGTGTACAATGGCTACCTTCTCAAGTGGTATTTAAGTAAACAAAATCTCAATGTAACTGTAGAATAGACAAAGACTCCCAGAATTAATTTTAAAATAATACTTCACACTTATTCTAAGACTGAACTGAAGCCCATGCAACCGTGTTTGTAAAATTGCAGTATATTCGCCTTTTTTTTGGAAACTGCTGGAATTTGGAGCTGAGGCTCGAGTCACTCACCCGATGTGTTACTTGAGACATCTGAAAATAAACTAGGAGATAAAAACCAGAGGTGATCTCATTTCCTCTTTCAGTTTCTGTGCACCAAGGGAGCCAGGAGCCGAGGTGTCTGGGGGGAGGAGCGGGTCAGGCTGCACCGAACGCAGATTCCTGGCGTCTCCTCGGGGAATCCAGCCTCCAGGCTACTCCAGGGGTCGGGCGGCCCTGCCAGTGCTCCCCAGTGGCTCACTGTTAGAGCAAGTCTCCCCGAGTTATTCCCGAGAGGCGACCGAATAGGGAGGGGAAGGTGTGCGTGCTCTGTGCCCTGGGGAGCAGGCGGAGGCGGGGTGAGCGTGTGGCGCAGAGAGATGGCAGCTCATGAGCAGGGAGGGGCGCAGAGAGATGGCAGCCTCGCGGGCAGGGAGAGGGGCAGAGAGATGGCAGCCTCGCGGGCAGGGAGAGGCGCAGAGATGGCAGCCTCGCGGGCAGGGAGAGGGGCAGAGAGATGGCAGCCTCATGGGCAGGGAGAGGCGCAGAGAGATGGCAGCTCATGGGCAGGGAGAGGCGCAGAGAGATGGCAGCTCATGAGCAGGGAGGGGCGCAGAGAGATGGCAGCCTCGCGGGCAGGGAGAGGCGCAGAGAGATGGCAGCCTTGCGGGCAGGAGAGATGGCAGCCTTGCGGGCAGGAGAGATGGCAGCCTCGCGGGCAGGGAGAGGGGCAGAGATGGCAGCCTCGCGGGCAGGGAGAGCGAGGCTGCTCTGTTCCGAGTGTCTGAGTGCAAAGGTAACGGCCTTGGGGCTGAACCTTGCCGTCCGGGCTGACCGCCTCTGCTTCGTGCCGTGCGGGTTGTTTGGCGTGTGCCGATGCTCAGTGTCTAGCTGTCCCGAGCCGGCGGGAACCTGGCGAGACCCCTGGAGAAAACTCCAGGCCAGCCTCTCCTCTCCGGCCCCCGGAGCCTAGCTGCCGGGCTCCGCGGGAGCAGGGCAGGGGGCGGGCTTGTCCCGCTTCCCCACCTGAGCCTCTGTGCGCCGGGTCCCCACGTCACGCTCAGATTTCTGCCTGGGTCCACCAGAAAACACCAAACTTGTCACTTTCCCCCCTGGTCTTCCCTTGGCTCCTGTGTGAGGGTTTAAAAGAGTGTTTGTTGATAGTAACCGGCTTTGTTTTATTTACGGGCTCTAGCAAGTTTTACAGAAGTGTTTATACTTCTGCAGATATCCCAAACACATCTGGTTCAAAAAAGAAAGTATGCCACAGCCCCAAAGCAACGAGTCCTGGCGTGCCACAGAGCGGACCGCGGAGGGGGCCGGGAGATGGTCGCGGTGCTGGGGGGCAGCGGAGACGAGCGGGACTGCGGGCCGGCTGGGCCAGACGCGACGCGGCGTAGCCCGCGCAGTGACGGCCGCCCGGCCTCGTCACGCTGTGCCTGTGCCCCGCCGTGTGTTTGAAGTCCTCGCTGCTATAATCATGCTTGTTGCTCGGCGCAGCCAGGCTGCCAGGGGCGTGCTCCCGACCAGCTTCCGCCAGATGTGCAGCGCAAGGCGCGTGGTAAGACCACAGCTGGATTGAGCGTCCTTTCATGTTTACATCTTAACAGGATCTTTGGGGATGTTAACTCGGCGTACGTTCATTCATACGACCTGGTGTACACACCTCTGCTTCGACATACCTGGGCGTACGTCGATCTCCCAGAGAAAAGGCAAAGGTTCTGACGTGGAAACGCTCGGGTCTCGGCTCTGGCTGCCCTTCCTATCCCGGGGGCGGAGTCAGCGTCCCATCTGGGCTGAAGCTGGAAGCAGAGCTGGATCACCGCAGCAACAGGCTCTGTGATCCACTCCAGAGGCCAGATGCACACCCACCCCTCCAGGCTGACCTCGCTCCACAGCTGTTTCCAACGTCACTGGCACACAGACAGAGGAAACCGAGGCTCAGAACTCGTTCCCTAATGACTGGGTGTCGGGCCCCAGGCCAGGCCAGGCGTGCCCACAACGCCCACCTCCAAGCCTGCTGGAAAAACTAAAAAGTTCCCAGCAAGTGCTCACACCTAAAAGGACCCTTTCATCTTATTTTTCTATGGTTCCGCATTCTTCCCCTTTCCGGAACCTACTCTCCCTCTGCTGCGTGTTTCTCGGGTCTCCTGAGGCCACCCAGCAGTGGGCCGCATCCCCCGGCCTGTAGAGGCTGAGCTAGAATCGCGATCCCACTTCTCTCCTCACACACGGTCAAAAGTCAGCAATGTCCACAGTTAAAGTCTCCTAGGACACACCCGGGGACCCTGAGCCGTTAATTTTTAGAGATGTGAATCTATCTAGAAAGGCTGAAGGTGAAGTGTACTCCAGCTTCAGGCCACACTTGAAACCTTGCCTCATTTAGTTCAGGCCTGAGATCACAGGACTCTAGTTTTCGGGACAAGGGGTCCACTGCGGAGCGGACGCAGGGAGCCAGGGACGCCCCGTGCAGTCGGGCAAGTTGTGAACCTCACGCCCAAGGGCTGGCTGGCTGTGCAGGGTGGCCTGTGGGAATGGGGCCTCCTGGGTCTGTGCAGGACACAGCTGGGCAGCTGGGCACAGCAGCGCTGGGCGTGGCAAGGCCTCGGCTGATAGTGGCATCACAGAGAAGAAAGGAAAAGGGAAAACTCTGTAATTAAGTGTCAGGTGTCCTTTGTCTTTTGCTTTTTCTACACATATAGCCGTTGGCTTTAATGATGTTCTTAGGTGGCAGCCATAACAGAGCTTTTATTAGAAAGGTAACCTGTTAACCATAATGACCGCTGCATATTGTCTGGGCTTTTGAAATCCAGGGCAGTTTAATAGCTGAGTTGTCACCCCCAAAACTATAAATTTTATTTTATGTTGATCTGGAGTGAATAGTAAAGATATTTTCTTCCTGAATTAAAGTTTAATCACTAGCTGCAATTACTCAGAAGAGAATGCAGTGCTATCGTAAGGCTCTCTCTATATCACTATTAGACTCTTCCCGGGCTGGTGTTACAGAAGCTAATAATTATATAAAACAGAAATGAATGGAGACGATCATCAGAAACTAAATAAAATAGGGGAAAATAGGATTTTATAGTTAGCACAGGAGACCTACTGATTTTTGTCTACTTGGGAAGAAATATAATGTTTTGAGAAGTATAAACATACTGTATGAGTGGCTGCGGATGTAAAATGAAAATGAAAAATAAACCTCTATTATGTCCTAACCTAAGCATTTTTAAAACATTTTCTTAATCTTCACAGCAATGCTGTAAAGTAGGTTTTTAAAAATTATACCATTTAAAAAGGCAGGGATTGAGGCTTGGGGAGTTTAAGCGGCGTGCCTAAATCCCATTAGTAAGATTTAGCCCTGGGATTAATTCCAGATGTCGGGGACTCCAAAGCCTGTGCCTCAGATCACCCCTCTAGAGCCCTTGGAAACTTACCCCCGTTACTGTATTACGTTTTTCTAAAAGGATAGACATAAAAATGAGGGCAGGGGCTTATACTTGGATAGTTATGTGACTAGTGCCCAGCCCTCAACGCTCTCCTTCCTATGAGCATGTACCACATGTGATCCCCGCTGCTCCTCCAACACGGAGACATCCCAGCGACAGGCCCAGCGCTGAGTACACTCAAGTGCATGATAAATGCGTCATAACTAACCTGGGCCAGGGTGGCCACTGGAAGCCGCCCGGGGGGGGGGCTTTGTCACTTTGGGAAACCTGTCCTTTTCGTCCCAACACGGCTCTGTCCCTGACTGTGAGCCGACTGCAGCAGGGACAAGGCTGGCTGGCTCAGGGACACCACTGAAACTCCTTACTCAAAAACCTACCAGTTTGGGGCTCCCATGGCTCCCCCTCTAGCTTCCAACGCTGATGCCGTTTCCAAGCTCAGACCAGGTCCTAAGAGCTGTCAGACGCCCGGATACCACCCTCGTCACGTATGTCTCACGTACCATTATTTAACTTCAGTAGTGATTCGTGATTTTTGTTTTTCTATGGTTCATTTAATTGGGAAGCTCCTTTTGGTGTGTAGGTCCGACCCAAAGGCTCAGATTCTTAGAAATAATTCTGTGGTGTTGACTGTTAAGCAAATATGCGTATAGAAGTCTTTCATTATACAGATATTGTTGTTCAAACAGTACTCATTTTTTTATTATATGACTAATATATTTATACCCCATTATTGGAGAATATACTACTAGTCAAGATACCCTGTATTTTGGGGTACAAAGAACAAAATTCAAGCAACAGAAGGAAAAATTAGTGGGAATAATTAGACTCTGTCTCTGATAATCTATAAGAAAAAATTATTTTTTAAAACTCTAAGTTTTATTAATATAAGAACTTAAAATACTTTACTTATATTTAAATGAAAATGATCCGATCAGAATGTGAATATTTAAATTAACATTAATTAGTGTGTGTGCTTTGTAGGTTGTCCTGGTTCTCAGGTTTTATTAATTTCCTTTGACGGCTGACAAATTTGCCTTCTGACCCCGATACGTGAAACACGTTCCATTTTAATCCTAGTATCTCCCCCTTGTAATCACCCCTCTTTATGACAATTTAACCTGAAACGCTGTCCCTGGCATCTCTACAGTAAGCGTTTGTAAAGCAGTAAGCAGCCTTGGGATTTTAAAAGGTGCAGAGGGGGAAAAGGTGATTCAATTTCTAAGACATCGCAAGACCCTCCTCCAACGCTCCAGGAGCAGGGGGCTGCTTGCCACGTGTGTGGACAGTTAAAGGTTACGAATCAGCTTGGAAAGTGTCACGGTGGAGTCTCGTCTCCAGCTGAGAAACAGAGCAGGGAGGCCGGCGGGGGTCTAGAACGCGGTCCTGCCCGCTCTGGGCCCCACGCGGCGGTGCCAGCTGACTGGGCCGTGCCCCCCTCGCTCCGGGAGGCGTCTGACCGTGGGTTTGAGGGCAGCCCCGCTGCTATATCCCAACTCGATCCATGCACCCCTCACCGCTCCACAAACCGCACCGCGTGGCCCGGCCTGCGGGAGAGGACGGCAGGGGGCCTGGAGGCAGGCCCGAGGTCACCTGGGCAGAGGGTTTGGGGGGCTGCTGTGAGCACCAGGATCTTACTCGCCTGGCACCGCGAGGGGAGGGTGGCTGAAGGCGGGTCCTCTGGAAGCGGGGCAGGGACTGGGTCATTTCCCCTTTACTCTCAGGCGCTGTCTGAGGCTATTTTAGAGTGTGTTGGGGGCACGCTGACAATCAACTCTTCTTTCAGAAATTAAAGTTTCAAACACAGGCTTTCATAGGACTGACTTGGCTTTGTCTCGGCATAGCGTTAAATAACGGCATTTTTATACATGGAAGCCCACAGCTGTTAGCAGGTTACAGTTTCTGTTTAGAAACATGTGATTTACAAAGAACATTTTAGTCTTGTTTCACGTGCTATCAGGATGGAATGTGAATGGCTTCCAGGCTTCTCGAACAGCTGCGGCCGCGTCACCGGAGCCTCGGGAGCCCGCCGAGCGCTCCCTCCTTTGCGACGGCAGGAAGGCGCGGCTCCGGCGCCCTCGCCAGGCCCCCCCGCGCTCCCCGCTTTCTCACAGGGGCAGAGCCGGGCTTTGTCCAACGAGCCCTCGCTCTGCTCTTAGATACCGAGGCATGTGGGGTTGTGCCGCGAGCCGGCGCAGTTATTTCTCCACATTATAAGAGATCAAAGCGCATATTCTAATTGGCCTTTGCTGATGGATAATAATAACTAGTTCACTAAACACTGGCTGAATTCATTTCCCTGGACCGCAACGCAAAGGGCCACAAACGGGGGGTTTGCTCAAACAGCAGCTCTAGAGGCCAGAAGTCCAAAGTGAAGGTGCGGGGGGCCATGCCCTCTCCGGAGCCTGAGGGAGGCTCCCTCCAGCCTCCAGCAGCCGCAGGTGTCCCGGCTTGTGGCCCCAGAACTCCCACCCCTGCCGGCCTCTCCCAGGGCCGGCTGCCCTCCGTCTGTGTCCACATTCACTCGTCCTCTCAGGACACCAGTTCTATCGAAGGAGGCTAACCCGGAATAACCTCTTATTTCCCCGATCATGTCGAAAACGTCCCTATTTCCAAATAAGGTCACAGTCACGGTTACCAGGGGTTGGGACGTAAGCATATCTTGCAGGGAGCCACAGTTCAACCCGTAATACTAACTACACGCCAGAAACGACTTTATACTTATTAGCTCATCAAAGACTTGTAGTAACCCTAGGAAATGAGTGTCGCTACGGCTCTGTTTTATAAATGTGGAAACAGAGATAAGGTAACTAGTCCACACAGCTAGTCACCGGCTGGGACACAGACAAGCCCGGCCCGTCTGGCTCTGAGCCCACATTGCGACCACCGAGCTGTATGGACTCTCTTCAGTCCGTGCTATACAGTGTCCTAGTTTATATGCATTTTTTCCAAATAAATTCCAATAGTCCTGAAAGTCAGGTCTTTATTATGCAGCTTGTGTCTGTTTATGACTGAATCCATATCGAAACATTGCACATACTTTTATGTTGTTAAAATAGTTGCATTCGTTGATTTTTTTTTTAGTTCCCGGCAATAGGAAGCCAGACAAGGAACCACTATAAATAGGAAAAGCTACTTAAAAGATGTAAGAAACAAAAAGCTTAGAGACCATAATTACTATGATTTTCGGTACAAGCTGGATAAAATACTAAGAATATTTTTCTTTTTAAAAATACATGATTACTTTCCTAATCATCTTACCAGTAGTTATTATAGAAGATTGAACAAAAATTTAGTTAATAGTCTTACCAGTAGCTATTATAAGAGATTGAGCGAAAGTTTAGCGACAGATAATTTTATGCCTATTTCTAGACTTTTAGAGAAAAAAAAAAATGCAGGGAAAAAGCCTCTTCACCTTATAATGTTATAATGTCATAACATTATCAGTAAACTTACCAGTAACATTATCAGTAAACTCAGTGACTTTGCTAAGGGAACGTTAAATAAGTGTAAACGTTTATTTTAAATGTACACGAATATATGAAAATATAGGTGGTGCATATGTTCCTACTCAAAGATGGATTTTATAAGCAAAGAGTATGCATTCTACTTAAATACTAAAGCAAATGCNCTTAAATACTAAATACTAAATACTAAAGCAAATGCTAAACATCCTAATTAACAACTACATATATATNTGCATTCTACTTAAATACTAAAGCAAATGCTAAACATCCTAATTAACAACTACATATATATATATATATATATATATATATATATATGTAGATACACGCATGCATCCTACATGTGGCTTGTCCAGACTAGTTTCATGAGAAAAATGCCCACAAAAGTCTAGACGAGCCCCGGTTCCACAGGTAAATAAACTTGCGGTCGGCCTCTTTGCAGAATGAAAGCCCTGTTGGGAGGGAAGGGGCGTGGGTTACCTGCGGCATCCCAGCTGGGAGCCTACTCGCCCAGGTTTCCCTTCTGTTCCTGCCCGAGCGTTCAACTCCAGGGGGCCCGTGGCATGTGGAGGGCGGCAGGGGGACCTCCGTCCTTTGCCCCTGCCCTGCCGACTGTCCTCCTGCCCCTTAGTTCCAGCTGAGCTCAGATTCAGCTGCTCCTCAGCCGCGTCAAGACATCAGCTCTGCCCCAAGATCTCTAGGCCCTGTGTAGGTCTCGCCAGCATCACGCGCCTCACCCCGCGCTCTTGCAGACGCACAGCGCAGTGTGGAGCCGATGCCGGGAATGAACAGTCGGCACACAGGGGGCGAGTGGGTTTCCACCCACCAGTAAGACGAACCCCGCTCCTCCTCGCACCGCCCGGCCCCGCAGTTCCCCGGGCCTTTCTCTTGCCTGTGGTGGCAACCGGAGCCCATCTCACGGCAGAAGCGTCCCCCCTCCTGCAAGGGGAGGCTCTGCCTCCCCTTCGAGGAACCAAGGCCCTGCCTTTGCCTGTGTCCAGATGTCCATCCTGCAGGGATGACCCTTAGGCACAGTCTCTCTCTGTAAAGCATGGGGACAGTGACCCTGCCTCTGTACCTGTTCCACAAGAGCATTCATTTTTCTGAGCGTTTTAAGATACCCAGGAGCAGGTGTCCTTGGTGGATTCAACCTAAACGCCAGGTGCTTGGGTCAGCGGATTATGCTCCTGGGTCCGAGTTTACGTTCTCAGCGTAAGAGCCGTCTCACCAGTGCGATGGCCACAGTTCTCGGAAGCAGGTATTTTAAGCCAGGAGAAGTAACTTCACTATGTTCCTGTCACTGAGATGTTTGTTTAGCATGTTTCTGAAACACCAGACGCAGGCCTGCATCATCGAGTGGACCGCTTTGAGTGTGTCTTCCCGTGGTGCCCCTTTGTGCTGCTTATCTTGGTCCTGCTAGAATAGACCAGGCTTTTCATCCGGGCTTCGCGGTGCACGTGCTTCGCCGTGCCCGGTCCTTCAGTGCAGGCGATGGTCACACTGAGATCTCTTCTGTGGCTTCAGTGACCACGTGCCCAGGGCCAGGTTCTAAAAGTAGCTTACCTGCCTGGGAAGCTATCTTCCTGCGGGTTAGAGCGGACCCTGACGGCAACACCCGCGGGTTGGCGTCATAGCAGGTGCGGGAGCCGCCCAACGCCGGCCCTGTAGTGCCATCGAGGCTGGGCCCCGCCTGCCCCGCGGCGCCGAGAGCGCCTGTCCGTGCTGAAGACAGCGGCTGCCAGCCCCTGCCAGCCGGCCTCGCCCTGCGCGCCTGTGGGCAGCTCATGAACAAACTATTTGTATTCTACCAGCCCGGAGGTTAACGTTAACCCTAAGCCAGAAGAAAAGAGGCGAATTGTTTATTTTAAACCTGAAACATTTTCTTGCTGTTTTTCATAGGTTTCCCCTCCAAAAAGAGAGCCGACCGGCGGCCGTGGGCAGGAGCCGAGGGCCACGTGGGCGCAGGGAGAGCCGGGCGGCGCCCTCGCCTCTCCGCTCCCCGGGGCCTGCGTCTGCCCCGGCTGCGGGTCACCTGCCCCACCTCAGTGGGATGCCCCCTCCGGCACGGACAGAGGAAAAGGCTGTGACAGCTGAGGTCCTGATGGAGCCTGCGGGGCCCGGGCTATGTGGCCAACACGCTGCCGGTGTCCTCCGCAGGCACTGGCACCGTGAGCCCCCTCAGCTCCCTGGGACTTGCGGGGTGACGTCCCGATTCAGCCACTCCCCGCCGGATGCCGTGATATTGTATAGTGACTTAATGTATATTCCCTGGGGGAAAGCGTCTGCAGTTGTAAATTTGTAATCTTGATTACAAATGATTTTTATAGGGGCTTTAGCTGGTTTAACTAGACGCGCTGGGCCTCGCCCTTGGCCTCAGAGACGCTGCAGGCATGGCCGAGGAGGCGTGTGTGTTCCTTAAACGACGTGAGTGCTTCAGCCGGAGTGAAACATCAGCTCGAAACTATTCCTTACACAGATCGTTCCTTGAGATGGTGAGACCCTGGGAGCCACTTCGTGTCCAGATGGACCCCGTTATGGAAGTGAGGTCCGAGCGTGATGGTGATGACTTGGCTCTGCTCACGTGTACTCCCAGAAGTGGTTCAGAGACCTTGGGATTTGCAGTTAAATCTGTGTTTTTCTCTCCTATGGATCCAAGTGGTTATTAATGAAAAGCATAACCCTGACTTCTCAAACCAATTAAAATGAAAAACAAATGTATCCAAGTTTTATTGCCATTAAATGATACAGTGGCAAAGCAGATGTCTGCAGACTAAACAGATTTTAGAGTCTTGAGTTCATCCACTAATAAGGATCCCGCTGGGACCACCCCGAGGCCCTCTTCCCGAGCCGTGTGAGACCCACGGGTAGTGGGGCTACTAGGAGCACCTAAAGATCTGGGGCCACCAGCCGAAGCCGCAGTCACAGGGAACAGTCCAGACCCGGTGCTGAGACTAGTGTCAACACCCAGAGATCATACTGCTTAATTCAACGCAAACTTTTTTTTTCTCACTGCCTGGACATACTTGTGTAAAGGAAGGTGAAGNTGCAAACTTTTTTATTTTCTCACTGCCTGGACATACTTGTGTAAAGGAAGGTGAAGAGCCTTCGNCGCAAACTTTTTTTTTCTCACTGCCTGGACATACTTGTGTAAAGGAAGGTGAAGAGCCTTTGGAAGTACTTTCGGCCTCAGTCTTCAGCTACTCGAACACAAGTCTTGAGAAAGAATTGTCCTCTTATATGAATTCCCTAAAGCTTTGGTTTTGCTACTACGTATTTAAGAGACGAATCATCCTTGGGCAACACTTCAGTGTAAGTGAATCAGGAAAATAACAGAGTTAACAAGTCAGATGCACTGAAACATTTTGGCTTTTTTATTTAAATCCCCATTCTCTCAGATTAGTGAAAAGGTCATTGTAATATTAATATGGGTTAAGTTTCCAGCGGTGGGTTAAGTTTCCAACTGAGGTGCGCCCAGAACTAAAACGGGGCTTACCTGCCACCTGGCCGAGGCCCGCATCTCCCTTCACCTGCGTTCCCCTCCCTCCACTCACACTGTCTGTCCTGGAAATACCTGCCCCGCCTCTCGAAAGAGCCGCGAGAGGCGCTGCCCTTCTAGGAGGTTCTAAGAAGCACCTGTGCAATCAGACCCCACACAATGAGATGCCTCCAAGTCGGAGGCTATGCCGGCCTGTCCTGCAGAACTGGACCTCGGGTTATCGTGCAGCACATTTTCATAGACTTTACCGTGGAAAACAGTGTAATAAAAATACAATTCTTCACTTGAGTGTTCTGCTAAGTCTGACAAAGCCCCTTCAGGAGAGATTTTAATGAAGTGACCCCAGGAAAGTTTGGGTGGAATTAAACCACGGAAGGCCCGTGCGGTTTCCTCCCTTCCTCTGAGGGGCTGCTTGGCTGTAGCTGGCAACTTGCATTTCGATTAATAAAGAAAGGGTTAATAAAGAAAGCTCCGGGACTAGGGTTCCTTTGCGCCAGAGCCAGCCGGTGGGGTCTGTAAAAGTCAGCGGGGTGGTCACTTCCCAGCCCCTTCAGCTCCAGCCCTGGAAACTCCAGGTCACTGGAGCAAGATGCTGACTCA